ATGTGGCCTTTGGTATCTGGCTTATCTCACTTGGCATAATGTTCTCGAGATTCATCCACGTTGTAGCAGGTATCAGTACTTCATTCCCTTTTATGGCTGATGAATACCCCATCGTATGAATATATATCACATTCTGTTTATCCATTCTTCATTTGATGGACACTTGGGTTTCCACTTTTTGGCTATTGTGAATAGTGGTGCTATGAACAGCGGTATACAAGTATTTGTTCGTTTTTTTTTTCTCTTGGGTATATATATACCTAGGAGTACAGGGTCACTGAAAAAGAGGAAGACCCTCAATGAGATGGATTGATACAGTGGCTGCAACAGTGGGCTCAAGCACAGCAATGATCATGAGGACGGTGCAGGACTGAGCAGTGTTTTGTTCTGTTGTACATAGGGTTGCTATGAGTTGGAACCGACTCAATAGCACCTGACAACAACAACAGGAGTAGAATTGCTGGGTCATATGGGATCGACTCAACAGCAGTGGGTTTGGTTTTGGTAATTCTAGGTTTAACTTTTTGAGGAAGCATCAAGCTATTTTCCACAATGGCCGCACCATTTTGCATTTCCATCAGCAGTGTACAAGGGTTTCAGTTTTGCCACATCCTCGCCAACACTCGTTATTTTCTATTTGTTTGTTTTTGCTGTTGTACTTTGTATTTGTACTACTAGTGGGTGTGAAATGGTATCGCACTGTGATTTTGGTTTATGTTTGCCTGATGACTAATGATGTTAAGCATCATTTCATGTGCTTTTTGGCCATTTGTATATCTTCTTTGGAGCAATGTCTATTCAAGTCCTTTACTCAGTTTTTAATTGGTCATTTGTCTTTTTGTTGTTGAGTTGTAAGAGTTCTTTATGTATTCTGGATACTAGACCCTTATCAAATGTATGGTTTGCGAATATTTTCTCCCGTTCCGCGCATTGTCTTTTCACTCTCTTGATAGTGTCCTTTGATAACACAAAAATTTTTCGTTTTGATGAAATACAATTTATCTATTTTTTCTTGTTACTTGTGCTTTGGGTATCATATCTAAGAATCTATTGTCAAATGCAAGGTCCTGAAGATTTACGCTTAGGTTTTCTTTTAAGAGTTTCATAGTTTTAACTCTTACACTTAGGCCTTTAGCCCATTTTTAGTTAATTTTTATATACGATGTGAGGTAGTGGTCCGACTACTTTTATTTTTCATGTGGAAATCCAGTTGTCCCAGCACCATTTGTTGAAGACTGTTCTTTCCCCCATTAAATGGTCTTGACATCGTTGTAGGAAATCAACTTACCATTGTAATGCAGCGTAAGGAATCATCTAAATTCACAAGGGATTAAGAATCAGGATCAGCACAAATTTGGTTCCTGTGAGGTGGGTGTCAGACATACCTCCACTCTCCAACTTCTTCACCATTTCTGACACCAGCCATTCCCCCCATGGCATGCTCTACTTCTCTGTTGGGTTCAATAGTTCATTTCAACAGTCACACAGAACTCACAGACCATACTTACAGTTATATGGTTTCTTAGGGAAGTAACAGGCTACAACTCAGGATCAGGATCAACTTGGAAATAACAAGAACATCTTGTGATCAGTGTCAGGAAGCACACAGGTCTCTCTGCCATTGGCCTCTCCATTGTTGGGTTCTCTGCAGCTGGGCTCCCCACCATCGGCCTCTCTGCCTTTGGCCTCTCCCAGCTCATAGCCAGTGTAGCAGCTCTCTCAGCTGCAGCTTTCTGCCATTGGGCTGCTCTGCCATTGGACCTCTCCACCATCAGGTGCTCTGCCATAGGCTGTTCACCGTCAGCCTCTCTGCCATTGGCCACTCCACTGCTAACTGGCCCAGCTCATAGCCCGTGTAGCAGCTTCAGGACCACTCAGCTCCCACATGGCTCTGCTTCACAGCCAGCCCTGCTCTTAGCATCTCTCTCTCAACCAGGAGCCCCTCTAAACCTCTGCGTTTCAGCCATTTGTATATCCTGATACTTGTCAGTTACAAGGCGGGGCTCCTTCACCAGGCCAGAGTTCAACCAATCCTCACCCATGAGATCTCAATCAACTCAAAACCAAAAAAAACCTGTTGCTGTCGAGTCAATTCCAACTCCTAGTGACCCTACAGGACAGGGTAGAACTGCCCCATAGGGTTTCCAAGGAGCAGCTGGTGGATTCGAACTGCCAACCTTTGAGTTAGCAGCCAAGCTGTTAACCACTGTGCCACCAGGGCTCCCAAACAACTCAGATGTTGTTAATTACCAGGCAAAAGTATCAAACCATCAAGGTGTTTACAGCTTACCCAGGAAATGTCAATCAACCTTGGAAATCTCCTGGGCAAAAGAACAAACCCTCTGGGGTAGAAAACAACCTGGGAGCCCCCCCACCCCAAGGTACTTCTCCAAAGAACTAGAGCAAAGGTAACACCTCAGGATTTAGGGGGAAAAAAATCTCCCAAGCTGTTTTTCCAAAGAACCAAGGCAAAAGGCCACATAAATGAACTTATTTCACCACAACCATCAATGTGAGGGTTTACATCTGGGCACTCAATTCCGTTTCGTTGGTCTATATGTCTGTTCTTATGCCAGTACCACACTGTTTTGATTACTCTTGCTTTGTAGTAAACTTTGGAATCAGAAAGTGTGAATCTTCCTTTGTTCTACCTTTTTCAAGATTTTGGCTATTTGGGGTCCCTTGCAATTCCATGTAAATTTTTGGATGAGCTTTTCCATTTCTGCCTAAAAGGCCATTGGGATTTTGATAGGGATTGCATTGAATCTGTAGATCACTTTGTGTGCTGCTGCCATCTTAACAATATTCAGTTTTCCAACCCATGAACATAGGATGTCTTTCCATTTATTTAGGTCTTTCATTTCTTTTGGCAATATTTTGTAGTTTTCAGTGTACAAGTGTTGCATCTGCTTGGTGAATTTATTCTTAAGTATTTTATTCCTTTTGATACTTTTGTAAATGGAATTGTCCTAACTTTATCTCGGGGTTGTTCATTGTTAGCATTTGGAGATACAACTGAATTTTGTGTGTTGATCTTGTATTATGAAACTTGGCTGAATTTGTTTATTAGCTCTAATAGTAGTCTTCTGGAGTCTTAGGATTTTCTATATATAAGATCATGTCATCTGCAAACAGATATAATTTTACTTCTCCCTTTCCAATTTGGATGCCTTTTATTTCTTTTTCTTGCCTAATTGCTCTGGCTAGAACAGCCAGTACCATGTTGAATAGAAGTGATGAAAATGGGCATCATTGTCTTGTTCCTGATCTGAGGGAGAAAGCTTTCACCCTTTCACTATTGAGATGTTAACTCTGGGTTTTTCATAGATTCCTTTTGTCATGTCGAAGTTCCCTTCTATTTTTAGTTTGCTGAGTGTTTTTTTTTTATGAATCCATGTTGGATTTGGTCAAATGACTTTTCTGTATCAATTGAGATGGGCATGTGGGTTTGTTTTTCCTTCATTCTATTAACGTGGTGTGTTACATTGATTGAATTTCATATGTTGAAGCATCCTTGCATCCCTGGGATAAATCCCACTTGGTCATGGTTTATAATCCTTTTAATATTTTGCTGGATTTGGTTTGCTAGTATTTTGCTGAGTTTTGTCTCCAAGTTTAACAAGTGGATGAGCGTCTTGGTTACGAAACAGAAATAAGACAGATCTCATTTGAATCACAGCTTTGTTGCTCACTTGTGATCTTGGGTGAATTGACTTCCTATCTGAGCCTCAGTTTCTTCATCTGTGAAATGGGTTCATAAGAGTACCCTCCTCATGGCACTGTTCCATGAACTTTGACAACTGCATATACCTGTGTAACCCAACCCCCTATCAAGAACTGGAACATTATCACCACCCCAAGAAAGTTCCCTCATGCCCCTTTCTAGTCAATCCCTACCCCTGCCAAGAAACAACTACTCTTCTGATTTTTTTCACCATAGATAAGTTTTGCCTGTTCTAGAACTTTATATAAATGGAGCCATGCTACCTAGAGTTGGCCAAACACAAGGCTAAGGGCATAGTCCTCCAAGCTGCCAGGTCTGCCCAAGACTTTAGGTGCTAGCTGCAATTTTGGAGGGCACTTCTGACCAGCTGGTGCCAAACTTGGGGGTCCCCACAGACTCCCTCAGATTAAATAATCCACTAGAATGACTCACAGAACTCAGGAAAGTGCTGTACTTACGATTACAAATCAGAACAAACCAAAAGGATGCACAGGGTGAGGTCTGGTGAGGAGGAGTCCCAAACTCGAAGCTTCTGTGTCCTCAGGGACGCATTACTCTCTCACTGTTAATGGGGAGCACTTTGTAACAAAGTATTGCCAACCCAGGAAGCCCACCTGAGTTTCGGCATCCAGAGTTCTTTTTGGGGTTTTATTCCATAGGTATGATTGATCATTGCCCACATGGTTGAACTCAGCCTCCAGCTCCCTCCCCGCCCCTTAAATCCATTGCCATTGAATGGATTCCTACTCATAGCGATCCTATAGGACAGAGTAGAACTGCCACATAGGGTTTCTAAGGAGCTGCTGGTGGATTCGAACTACTGATCTTTGGTTAGCAGCTGAGCTCTTAACCACTGGGCCACCAGGGGTCCCCCATCCCATTACGTGTGGGATAATATCACTTGACTTAAAGCCCCAACACTCTAATCACGATTGGTCTTGTGGTCCAAGGGGCCAAGTGTGAATAACAAATATACCCTAATATCACTCAGGAGATCCCAGGATTTCAAGGTCACTTCCTAGGAACTGGGGGACAAAGTCCAGCCAAATTCTTTATATTACACATATACAGTGTGTACTCTTTCCTCTCTAGCTTTTTTCACTCGGGGGCTGTTAGGTGTAATTCCCTTCCTCGTGGTACAGACAAGCACACTGAGGGCCAGAGAGGTGAAGGATCTTGTTCAGAGTCACCCAGCATCTAGGGTCTGGAACCCGGGGCTCCAGAAGTCCAGTCTGTACCACAGCGGCTCTGACTCCTGCCCGGCTTCTCCCCACAGGGTGAGAGGCTGAGCCACGCTGTGGGCTGCGCTTTTGCCGCCTGCCTAGAACGAAAACAGAGGCGGGAGAAGGAATGCGGGGTCACTGCTGCCTTCGATGCCAGCCGCACCAGTTTCTCCCGCGAGGGCTCCTTCCGCCTGTCTGGAGGCGGGCGGCCCGCGGAGCGAGAGGCCCCAGACAAAAAGAAAGGTGAGCGCTGCCCAGACGGTGGGCTGGGCAGAGTGCGCGTGGGTGGGGCCGGAGGATCCAGTTTTCAGCTTGGGTCACTGCAAAGCACATTTCAGTTGAAAAATCCTTTGAGAGAGATTCTGCAGGTCACATCACAGCAAAACTCACCAAGCACTTTATTATCTGCTGTCAGGGATGTTCTCAGGGTTTTTCAAACTGTGTATGGGGTCTCCATGAGTTTGGTTAAGGTCCCTGGATGGTACAGGCGGTTTGCTATCAGCTGGCGGTTCAAGCCCACCCAGCAGCTCCTTGGAAAAAAGGCCTGGCGATCTGCTTCCGTCAAGATCGTTGTTGTTAGTTACCGTCTAGGCGGCCTCAGATTCATGGCGACCCCATGTGACAGAAGAACCTCTCCATAAGGTGTTCTTGGCTGTGATCTTTATGGAAGCATATGGCTAGTTTTTCGTGGGTATGTGAAGACTCTGGGTGTGTTGGAACCGCCTACCTTTCCGTTAGCAGCCAATCACAAACTGTTTTCTGTTAGCAGCCAATCACAAACTGCTTTCTGTTAGCAGCCAATCACAAACTGCTTTCTGTTAGCAGCCAATCACAAACTGCTTGTGCCAGCCAGGCTCCTCCCTAAAGATTACAGCCACGAAAACCCCGTGGAACAGCCCTCCTGTACAGTACACGGGGTGGCCGTGAGTTGGAAGCGACACCACAGCAACGAGTTTGATTGTTTTTTTTTTTTTTTTTTGTATCAAGACCTGCCAGTGCGTTGTGAATTCCGTTTATTGGCTTGAGGAATTAAAAAAAAAGGTACAAAATATCAGAGTATAAATGTAGTAAGGGTAGGTATAGTTTAAATGGTACTCTTACGTATTCAGTATATATATATTTGTGCGTGTCATAGGGTTTCCAAGGCTGTAATCTTTACAGAAGCAGACTGCCACAGCTTTCTCCCGCAGAGCAGCTAGCAGGTTTGAACTGCCGACCTTTTGGTTAGCAGCCGAGCACTTAACCACTGCGCCACCAGGGCTCCTATGTAAATGGTAAATACTTTGTAAATTCTAAAATAGCGTGTGTGTTTTAAAATGTCCGTATGTGCTGAATCACAATGTATATTTTTATTTTATTTTTACTGTAGATAGTAGTTTTTAAAAATCTGGGAAACACTGGTTCGAATTACAAAGAATTGACGATTGGGAACTGATCCAGATTAAAGGAGGCTAAAGAGATCTGACAGCTACTAATAAATGCAATGTGTGATTCTTACTTGAATCCTGCAATTTTTTTTTTTTTTAAACATCTATAAAAGACATAATTGGCTTAACTGGGGAAACTGGAATATGGACTTAGATTAACATGTAGTCACGTTAAATTTCCTAAGTGAGGTAATTATTGTGATTCTGTAGGAGAACGTCCTTGTTGTTCAAAAAGCAAAACCAAATCTGTTGCTGTCAAGTCGATTCCGACTCATAGTGACCCTTTAGGACAGAGTAGAACTGCCCTATAGGGTTTCCAAGGAGTGGCTGGTGGATTCGAACTGCCAACCTTTTGGCTAGCAGCCAAGCACTTAACCACTGTGCCACCAGATTGTGATTCTGTCAGAGAATGTCCTCGTTCTTAGGAGGTACATAATGAAGGTTTTAGTGTTGAGTAAGTCGTCTCTTGCTTGGGTGGTACAAGTAGTTAAGTACTCGGCTACTAACCGAAAGATTGGCAGTTCAAATCTACCCAGAGGTGCCTTGGAAGAAAGGCCTGGCAATCTACTTCCCAAAAATCAGCCGTTGAAAATCTTATGTATCACAGTTCTACTCAGACACACATGGGGTCACCACGAGTCAGAATCGACTCAACAGCACCAGTAAGTTGTAACTTAAATGGTACAAAAAAAAATTAGAAAGAGAAAGCATGTGAGCAACTATGGTAACATGTTAACACTGGGGACCATATATGAATGCTCAAGAATGAGTTTTCATTATTTTGCTATTGCAACCTTCTGCTTACATTTTTTTCTAAAGAAAAATTTAGGACAATAAGTTTTTATCACTTACTAGAATATTAGAGTTCACAAGATCTGTTTTGACTTGTAAATTACATGACCATTCACAATCCTTTTTACAAGTTCTTTGTCATGCACAAAGCATTTTACAGTCTACATAATGTATTAAAATTTGTAAAGAATTTTATCAGTGGTAAAACAGACTCTTAAAAAAAAAACCCCCGTTGCCATCGAGTCAATTCTGACTCATAGCAACCCTATAGGACAGAGTAGAACTGCCCCACAGGGTTTCCAGGGAGTGGCTGTGGATTTGAACTGCCGACCTTTTGGTTAGCAGCCAAGCTCTTAACCACTGCACCAGACTACAGGGGACTCAGACATACCAATGATCATGAAGCTGGCACGGGACTGGGCAGCAGCGTTTCATTCTGTTACATATAAGGTCACGATGAGTCAAAGCCAACTCGACAACGATTAACAACAGACTACAAAGTGAAGTTCAAAAAGAACACGTATCATGTTTATTTACAAAGAACATACTGGGTATATAGTCCTTCTAGTTCACAAACTTGCTTTCATCATTTTCATAGAACATTTGAACTTACGAAGAACGTTGTCACAGGCAAAGCACATTAAGTTTGCGAAAGGTTTTACCATTTTCAAGGGCTATTATAAATCCCAGGTACTTTGCATTGTACAAAGCGCTTGTACTGTTTGCGCAGCAAATGAGAGTTTACAACGTGAGCTCCGATTTGCCAGACCTGTCACAGTGTGTTGCCGTTGCGCACTGATTCCCAGTCTCAAAGCACGGCACTTTTACAAAGCATTTTTTCCCATTTACTTTAGGAGAACGGAGCTCTGGTAGCACAGTGATTAAGAGCTGGGCTGCTAACCAAAAGGTCGGCAGTTGTAATCCACCAACTGCTCCTTGGAAACCCTATGGGGCAGTTCTACTGTGTCCCTATAGGGTTGCTGTAAGTCAGAACCCATCTCGATGGCGATGGGTTTGGGTTTTTTAGGAGTTACGGAGGAGTGCAGTTTTCACAAAATTGTTTACCAGGTCTTTTTTTAAATATGTATATATACTCCAAAGCATTTAACATTCACTGCCTCAGCTGACCCTCTCAGGAGGCCCTGGGAGGTAGCACAGGGACGCTTATCCCAGGTTTATAGTTGGGGAGGAGTCCCTGGATGGTGCGAAAGGTTAACATGTTCAGCTGCTAACCAAAAGGTCGGAGGTTTGAGTCCACCCAGAGGCATCTCGGGAGAAAAGCCTGGTGATCTACTTCCAAAAAATCAGCCATTGAAGCACAGTTCTACTCTGATGCACATGGGGTCACCATAAATCACAATTGACTCAACAGCAACTGGTATGAACAACGACAAAAATAGTTGGGGAAACTGAAGCCCAGAGAGGGGAGGGGAACTTCCTGAGGTCTCACGGTGAGGTGGCGGCAGAGTTGGCTTCCTCGTTCCACCCTGTCCAGGGCTGTTTCCACTGCAGGCCTCAGCCACCTCAACCTGGAAGATGGGAGGAGAGCACTCTCCCTGCCCTCTCTGGGTCTGATTTTAATCCTGCCGGCATTCAGGCTGCAGCTCAGCCCACGGGAGGGAGGACAGATGTGTGTTTGTGTATTGGCAGAGATGGGTGGGACCCTGCCCTCTTTGCAGAGTAGGGAAACCAAGTTTTCCCCCAGGGCACGGAGTAGAGTCCCAGAGAGGAGGGAGCTCAGGCTGAGGGGCTCGGACAATCTGGAAAGCTGCTCAGAGGATGACCTGTGCCTAGAGGAATAAGTAGCAACTGAAAGAAGGGGGGAGATACTTGAAGTGGGAAGAATGATGTGAGGGGGACTAAGAGGAGAGCAGACAGAGTGAGAGAGAAAGACAGCATGATGGGGGAAACTGAGTCAGAGGGAGAGGCTGTTCAAGGCAGTCATTTGTAGCACAGACTCTGGAGTCAGCGCCCCCCTTCCCGCTGTTGTGGCTTGAGCAAGTTGCTTGGCACCGCTGGATCTCAGTTTCCACATCTGTAAAATAGGGCTAACAATAGTACCTACCTCACTGGGTGGGTGTGAGGATTGATGAGTTAATGCTCGCAAAGCACTCGGAACAATGCCCGATATGCACCAAATAAGTGTTTGTTAAATTAATCAGAAGGGGAGTCAGAGGGTTTCAGAGAGAGATGGAGGGAACGCAGAGGAAGACAGATCAGGGCCCGTAAGCTAGAGAGAGATAGAGGGTTAGTTTCGGGGAGGATTCCCCAGGGGCCTCCTGGAGAGGGTGGTCTTGCCTTGAGTGGGGCAGGAGAGGTTTCAGGGCACTGACCAGCCTGTCTTGAGGGTGAGGAAGGCAGCCTTGGAAAATGATCAAGAGGACCGGGTGGGTGAGGCTTGAATACCGAGATGAGTTGTCTAACCACCTGTCTCTCCACATCTCCAGCAGAGGCAGCCGCGGCCCCTACTGCGGCTCCAGGCCCTGCCCAGCCTGGACACGTATCCCCGACACCTGCCACCACATCCCCTGGCGAGAAGGGTGAAGCAGGCACACCAGTGGCTGCGGGCACCACTGCAGCTGCCATTCCCCGGCGCCATGCCCCTCTGGAGCAGCTGGTTCGCCAGGGCTCCTTCCGTGGGTTCCCTGCACTCAGCCAGAAGAACTCACCTTTCAAACGGCAGCTGAGCCTGCGGCTGAACGAGCTGCCTTCCACGCTGCAGCGCCGCACTGACTTCCAGGTGAAGGGCACAGGTGAGCTGGGCTCCATGGGAAGGAGCACTGGAATCAATTAGCACTGTCTGCTGTGGGCAGGGAATACAGTAGAGGTAGCACACACCATGATTGATTAGTACTGTCTGCCACAGGCAAAGGACAGAGAAGTAGAACGCATCATGATCAATTAGCAGTGTCTGCTATGGGTGAGTTTAGAGGAGAGGTGGCATAAATCATGACTGATTAGCAACGTCTGCTATGGCAGGGAGGTCTGCCATGGGCAAGGGAAAGCAGAGAAACAGCACAGATGCCACGTTTTTACTTGGGAGGAGACTGAGGCACAAACCTTTGGCCAGTAGAGCCATGAGGTCTGGCTCAGAGGAAAGGAGAATTGTGATGGATTAACAATGCCTGCCTTGAACAGGGAGGCTAGAGCAGCAGCATACGGCATGATCTCCTAGCAGTGTCTGCCATCAGCAAGAGAAAGGAAAGAGGTGGCTTACCACATGATTAATCAGCAGAGTTTGCCATGGGCAAAGGAGAGGAGAGAACAGCAGGAGTCTTATATTTCTGCCCAAGGGGAGACTCCCAGAATTTGAACAATGGAACCAAGAGGTAAAGGGCACAGGTGAACACAGAAATCACAGGGATCAAAGAGCGTTGTGGACAAGGGATTGGGCAGAGACAGTAATATTGTAATTGGTTAGCTGGGTCTTCCAGGGACAAGGAAGAAATGGCACATCATGATTGATTAGCAATGTCTGCCATGAGTAGGGCATAGGAGAAAGGCAGTATAAATGTCCTGTTTGGCTTGAAGGAAAGATGGAATAACAGAAACCTGTCCTCCCTCCCAGCATTTGACCAGTAGAGCCATGAGGTCTGGCTAGGTGAGGGGTAAAGTGAGCAAAGAGCTCAGTGGAAAAAGGATCATGTTTGATTAGCAATGTCTGCAATGGGCAAGGGAAAGGAAACCAAAAAAGACCAAACCCGTTGCTGTTGAATCAATTCTGACTCATGGTAACCCCTCGTGTGACAGAGTAGAATTGCTCCATAGGGTTTTCTAGGCTATAATCTTTACAGAAGTGGATTGCCAGGCCTTTTTTCCATGGCGACAGTGGATGGGTTCAAACCGCCAACCGTTTCATTAGCAGATGAGAGCAAACTGTTTGCGCCACTCAGGGGCCTCAAACCAAGCCTGTCGCCATCGAGTCGATTCCGACTTATGAAAGAGGTGATGTATGTCCTGAACTAAAAGCAGTGTCTGCCATGGGCAAGGGACAAGAGACAGGTGGCATGGGACCATGTTTTTGTTCAAGGAAGACCAACAGGAGGGGCCGCCTTCCCTCCCTGCAGTCAGGGAAGTCCCGCGGGCCGGCCGCCGCTCCTGCTGCCATACGCCTACGCCTCATGGCCTGAAGGGTTGGTGTGGGAGGGTGTCGATTCGTATCCAGGAGGCAGGGCCGCTCCGAAAGGGAACCGTTGAGAAGCTGCCAACGCTTGCTGAGATGACGCGTGTGCACTTGTGTCCTGCAGCATCCCCTGGCTGTCACCCACTCTCAGATCTGCATCAACGTGCTTGCTGTCCTCACACAGCTTGACACTAAGCACACACCTGGGCCCAGCACGCATGCTCCCTGAGGGGCGGTGGGCCCCCTGAGAGGTGGCGGGCTCCCTGAGGGGCGGCGGGCCCCCTGAGAGGTAGCGGGCTCCCTGAGGGGCGGCGGGCCCCCTGAGAGGTGGCGGGCTCCCTGAGGGGCGGCGGGCCCCCTGAGAGGTGGCGGGCTCCCTGAGGGGCGGCGGGCCCCCTGAGAGGTGGTGGGCTCCCTGAGGGGCGGCGGGCCCCCTGAGAGGTGGTGGGCTCCCTGAGGGGCGGCGGGCCCCCTGAGAGGTAGTGGGCTCCCTGAGGGGCGGCAGGCTCCCTGAGAGGTGGCAGACCCCCAGGCTTTCTTTGGAAGCCTCACATTCCTGCAGCCAGTGGCACACACACATGGATGTGACTTGCCCCATAAATTTCACATACATAGATGCCACTTTCTCACACAGGGGCCACACACACACACACTCAGAAGTCACACGCCCAAGCTCCTGTCCAGAGGCAAGATGAGAAGGCAGAGAGGGTTAGGAGCTGGTTGAATGGACATGGGAAATCCGGGCTGGAAAGGAGGAGTGTGCTGTCACAGTATGGGGAGAGCAGCTAGGGTCACATAGCAATGTGTGTATAAATTTTTGTATGAGAAACTGACTTGAATTGTCAACTTTCACTTAAAGCACAATTTAAAAAAAAAAAAAAAAAAGTCACACGCCCAGAGTCATGTACACCCAGAGATCACCCACACCTGGATGTCATACATCCAGATGTCATACACACTCAGAAGTCACATGTGCAGATGTTAAGAGTCACACGCTCTTGGGAAGCACACACCTATGTCCCACTGAAGACTCAGAGTCCTATACACACTCAGAAACCACACGTTCAGCTGTCACACGCAGAAATCTCTCACCAGCTTTGCACACACTCAGAACCCACACAGCCGGATCCACACACACTCAGACATCACGCTTGCGGATCACACACACTCACACACCTAGGTGTTACACACCACATATCATACAGGCAGACTCACACTTGCAAATCCCATGTTGGGTTCACCCCACACCTGGATTTCAGCCCCACTCAGACGCCACACCTTCCGAAGCCACATGTCCGTTTGGTCCTCACACATCCATTTGTCGCAGATATTGACCTGGAAGCCATACACTTCCCTGCCCACCTGGGCAGTCCCACAGCACACCTACGGACTCCTGCAGCCGAGTTTTGTCCTGTTGCCCTTTGGAGCATCACACACACCCCCTTGGAGATAGCCACTTCCTGACACGTCACAGGCCTTAGTCACACACCACACGGTTGTCGATTTGGATGGTACCTTTGCTCATCCCAACCCCCTTCCTGAGGCCGTCACAGACCTGTCTGGATGACACAGGTACATCTCTGCCCTCATGATACACATTATAGGCCAGGCTGGGGAGGGTGCCCAGGTCCCTGCCTATGTGCCCGAAGCAAGACTAAGCATCCTCAGCCAGAGAACAGCAGCGTGGCCAACATCCACTTGGCTAGTCAATGCCCTTGCCGTACTTGTGTGTCTTAGTTATCTAGTGCTGCTATAAAAGAAACACCACAGCGGGTGGCTTTAACAAGTAGAAATTTATTTTCTCACAGTTTAGGTGGCTGGAAGTTTGAAATCAGGGTGCCAGTTCGAGGGGAAGGCTTTCTCTCTCTGTCAGCTCTCGGGGAGGGTCCTTGTCTCTTCAGCTTCTATTCTGTGGCTCCTTGGTGATCTTCTTGTGGCATGGCATCTGACTTCCCCCAACTCTGTTTGCTCCCGTGCTTGTTTAATCTCTTTTTTAACTCAAAACAGATTGATTTAAGACACATCCTACACTAATACTGTCTCATTAATATAACAAAGAAAACTCATTCCCAAATGGGATTATAACCACAGGTATAGGAGTTATGCCTCAAGACAGGTGATCCAACCGAATGTGGAAACTGTCCCAGCAGTATCATTAATATCAGACTCAAGTAAATTTTTGCTAAAGATCATTCAAAAGCAGGAATGCCAGAAATTCAAGCCGGATTCAGAAGAGGACATGGAACGAGAAATATTATTGCTGATGTCAGATAGATCATGGCTGAAAACAGAGAATCCCAGAAACATGCTTACCTGTGTTTTATTGACTATGCAAAGGCATTTGACTGTGTGGATCATAACAAATTATGGATAACATAACATTGTGAAGAATGGGAATTCCAGAACACTTAATTGTGCTCATGAGGAACCTGTACATAGACCATGAGCAAGTCATTCGAACAGAACAAGGGGATACTGCATGGTTTAAAGTCAGGAAAGGTGTGCGTCAGGGTTGTAACCTTTCACCATATTTATTCAGTCTGATGCTGAGCAGATAATCCAAGAAGCTAGACTATGAAGAAAAACAAGGCATCAGGACTGGCGGAAGATTCATTAACAACCTGCATTATGCAGATGATACAGCCTTGCTTGCTGAAAATGAAGAGGACTTGAAGCACTTACTGATAAAGATCAAAGACCACAGCCTTCAGTATGGATTACACTTCAACACAGGGAAAACAAAAATTCTCACAACTGGACCAATAAGCAACATCATGATAAATGGAGAAAAGATTGAAGTTTTCAAGGATTTCATTTGGATCCACAATCAACACCCATGGAAGCAGCAGTCACGAAATCAAACGACACATTGCCTTGGGCAAATCTGCTGCAAAAGACCTCTTTAAAGTGTTAAAAAGCAAAGATGTCACTTTAAGGACTAAGGTGCCCCTGACCCAAGCCATGATGTTTTTAATTGTCCCATGTGCGTGCGAAAGCTGAACAGTGAATAAAGAAGACCGAACAAGAATTGATGTGTTTGAGTTGTGGTGTTGGTGAAGAATGTTGAATATACTGTGGACTGCCAAAAAAGTGAACAAATCTAAGTACAGCCAGAGCACTCCTTAGAAGCAAGGATGGTGAGACTTCGTCTCACATCTTTTGGACATGTTATCAGGAGGGACCAGTCCCTGGGGAAGGACATCATGCTTGGTAAAGTAGAGAGTCAGCAAAAAAGAAGATCCTCAATGAGATGGATTAACGTAGCTGCAATAGTGGGCTCAAGCTTAGCAGCGATCATGAGGATGGCGCAGGACTGGGCAGTGTTTCATTCTGTTGTACAAGGGTCACTATGAGTCGGAACCAACTCAACAGCACCCGACAAAAACAACGTGGGGATTAGCATTTACAACACATTTTGGGGGGACACAATTCAATCCATAACAATGTGCTTAAGCAGATGTTTTAATTTGTATGTTATTAAACATTTCCAATAGTTCTTCTGACTTGTGACCACACACAGATTTTAAAGTCTTTGGTTCTGGGTCCCACTCCACCCGTCGCTGTCAGCCATCAAGTGTCACACACTGAACTTGACTGTTGTACCACTCAGACATCACGCACACATATGCACAGAGTTATCATTTTTGTGGCCATGGATACTCAGTTACTACGGAGTGGACCCTCCAACCCATACACCTCGTGAGGGAGAGGACCCCAGGCTGTAAGGGAGGGCCACCTGAGGGTATAAGGAGAAGGGGCAGAGCCGGGGCAGGGTCTGGGCCTGTTCACTGACCTTCCTGTCCTTCCCAGTGCCTGAGATGGAGCCTCCTGGCACCAGTGACAGTGACGGCATCAATGCTCTGTGCACACAGATCAGCTCATCTTTCGCCAGTGCTGGGGCACCAGCGCCAGGCCCACTGCCAGCCACAACAGGTGAGCGCAGTCCTTCTACTGGGGCGGACACCCTGCAGGGCCCCTCCTGCATATTCCCCTTCTCCATTCAGGGCCACCTCAGAGGCTCCAGGAATCTTGGAGTCCACAGGCTTGGAATCATAGGATCATCTTAGAGGCAGGGGATCCTCTTAGTGCTCTGGGATCACCTCAGAACCAGG